AGAGAGAGAGAGAGAGAGAGAGAGAGAGAGAGAGAGAGAGAGAGAGAGAGAGCAGGTTCGTTTTCTCTGGTCGCTCTGAATTCATCGCCTGCGACTCTATTGAAACGAGAAAACGTGCTTTCTCACCGCACTTCAATCGGTGATGCGTTAAATTGCAAATCCGATCGCGACGCGAATTTAATTCGCGTTATCTCTAGATACGTACATATATTCCCTTGCGTAACCGCGCAGCATCTCTTCTTCTGCCGATCCTCTGCAATTGCAATGACAGCCGGAATAATGAAGCATAAATTTCCCAAGGGAAAGAGACTCGATCTCGCTCGCTCGATTACGTGTCGCGTGTGAGCCTGCGCTTAAATGCGACAAGCGATTAACGCGAACCTTCGGCAAGTAGCGATCAGTTTCCTTCTTTCTTTCCTTCTTTTGCATGCGACAGAAAAGCTGAAACGGAAACGGAAATCCAGCCGGTCGCTCCCACGCGGAAAAACTCAGACGCGTGAAAGAGAAAGAGCGAAACGGGCTTTCCTCTCGTTCCGGAGAAGACGGGCAGACAGACAGACAGAGAGAAAGAGAGAGAGAGAGAGAGAGAGAGAGAGAGAGAGGGAGGGGGGAAGAGGGAGAGAGAAGGCGCGAAGCCGCCGCAATGGTTCAAGTACGATGGTTACGAATATTTTCACGGGTGTTAGACCACGAGACGATTGCGTAAGAGAAGAATCTGCGGCACCGCGGAGGAGAACATCCCACCTCCGTCGCTCTGGGATCTTCTCTTTCTCCGTTCGTCCGATGTGGGAGCCCCTAGAAAGAGAGACTCTCAAGAGTCCCCCCTTTCTGCCCCGGTCGATGTCTAAAGCCATATATATACCACCACCTCGTGGTGCGATCCTACGAGAAAGAACTTTGGAAGTAGCGTCGTCCTAGAGCCAGAACCGAGGAGCGAAACGAGCCGAGTGTCAGGGCATCCGTAAGTGCGCGGTGCGCGGCGAGCTAGAGAGACGGCAAACACGAGAGGATAAATGATCACCTAGGCGGCACGATACTGCGGGCGACTAAGGGCGACTATATTTTCCCGGAAAGGTAGGCAGAAGGTAACCCAAAGTCCCTGCAGAGTCTCGTCGCGTCCCACCTGAAACGTGTCTCGGTCCCCTTCTGCCAAAAAGACGATCTCACCGGGAAGAGAGACAGTCGAAGTGTTCGCGAGAAGACCGCGATTCGAACATCTCCCGTCACGTATAACACGAAAAGCGAAAAAAAGACACCGAGAGAAAACACGTCGCCCCTCGTTCAACGACCCGTCCCGTCAGCGAGTGCTTTAAAGTTCTTTGAATGTTTTTTTAGATGATTTCGAGATACCAGATACTCTGCGCAGTCTTGCTCTTCGCCACGGTATTGCTCTATCAAACGATGGCGGTGAGTCTGAAAATCCTTGTCGATCTCCCTTCGATCTACATCGCGAATAGCCATAGTTCGCGAATAACGCCGAAAATCCACGAGAGAGCCCGAGATTCCCGCGAAAAGTTGCGTCCTCGGACGACCAAGCTCGGATTGATCGCGCAACACAGGGACAGAATGTTGGCCCTGTAGTGGGGGGGTGCGTTTCGCAAAATACTTCAGATCCGCGAGAGAGCGGCGCGAGGCGCACGATTTAAAGCACAAAATTATTATTTATATCGTCATGTTCCCACGGTGTATCGCGTAACAATGACAGCGAGTGAACCATATCTGCACGCATCATCTTCCGCCAGGTGGTAACATTAAGTAATTCATTAATTAACTGGTGTTACGCGAGCGTGCTTTCCCGTGCGTACGGAACGCTTCGTTAGGCGAAGTCACTTGAAGGCATACACACATGCATCTCATGAAGGGTTTCGGGCAGAACGTCTCGCGATCTCAAACATCATGAACACGATAAGAATCTGACAAAAAAGTCGACGCTCGATCAATTAATTATCGGCCCACTCTGCCTCTCTGTCTCTTTCTCTTTCTCATTTGAAATATCCCAAAACGCCTGACTTGTCAAACTCGTCGGAAAGATACGGCGAATTGTACTACTTTCGATTCATCGCATATTATTGGTTGTTTGCGCGCGAGTCATTATTAATGAAGCCTTAATGACGAGAGAAACGACGTACGCATCCGGATTCGGCCGATTCGATCTCGCAGTTACCAATTAGAAGACATATTTCGCAGGAAACGATGGCCGTGAAGCCGATGAAAATCGGGGATGGAGAATAATAAGCCGAGAAATAAGCTCGGCATCAATGCCGCGAGGCTACCAAACGGAAAGATAAGACAGTTAATTAATTTATGCAACGTTCGCACTATCCTGCTTCCACACACACACACACGTCTAACTCATCTTTCACCATGCTGTTTTCCTGCGAAAAAGAATGAAAAGAAACATAATTTACTTATTTTTCTTCGTATATATATATATATATATATATATATATATATATATATATATATATATATA